AAGCCGCTTGACTTGGTTTGTTGAAATTTCTACAGTTTTTTCACCTGGCATTGTCAATTTCAGAGATCTTGTAGCACTCCTGATAGCTGAGGTTGGGTAACCCAAAAACACTGACCTCCGGTCCGTGGACCCCCACTACAGACCGGGTCTGCGAACTACCTATGGACCAGTCCACAGACTCCCCCTACGGACCCCCCAAAATATAATAGAAATAATAGATCAATATTTCAGTTACGGGTTGTCTAATAGATTACTTGTGACAGCAAAATTTCGAACATTACATTGTGCAAATATAACAGACCTGGATTCAGGCTCGGGTGCAATTTAAATCATTACACATTGCCATTTCCTTTGCTGTGGTCAGAAAGTATATGAAAGACACGTATGGGGAAGTCTCCAGGAAGCCTCAAAATTTGTGCTCTCTTCCCTCTACCATTTTGTTCAGCCCATTCTCCCATTGAACTCGTTGCAGGCTTCACAATTTGCTCAGCAGAATAACAGATACAAACAACAATTAACGGCCTGAAAATATTATATCTTCCATAGCCAGATTGAGCCACGAATGGAATGTAAGAACTTTCCTTCTTACCATCGGCATCTCCTTACGCTGAAAATGAGTTTTAGGCATTTTTTTGGGAGGGGGTGGGGTGTTAAAAACCCAAGTCTGATACATTTGCACCGTGTAACACTCGAAAAATCACCGACACGAGTCTGAATCTATTAGACAACCCGTAAGTGGAATCTTTATTTATTATTTTTACACTGTTTTAGGGTGGTCCGTAGAGGGGGTCCGTAGGGTAGTCCATGGTACTGAAATTAGCTTGAGAGGCAAAGGAATCCCTATAATTTTAGTCTGTTCACAGCTCAATAAGTTCTTGGATGACATCATCTTTTAAATAAAGTTTTCTGGCATCTTTTGGTGCCAAATTACCGAGAAAAACTAATTTCCTGCCTGCCTTAGATAAATGAAAATCAAAAAAGCACTTCCATTTAGATTTGCATTCGTTTGAAATATACTTTTAAAAGTATCCATGAAATTTTCAAGGCTTTATTAAATTCTATTATGTCTAGCATCTTTTGTCCTCCATCTTGGTAATCTGCTATCACTTCAGTCTGCTTAATATCCTCGCCCTTGTTATCCCAAAGGAATTTAAAAGGAAGATTGTTTTTTTCAGCAATTTTGAACATCACATTGTTGATGACAGAATATAAACAAATTGTGATGCAGCTAGAGCCTTAATAACTGTGATTTTACCACGTAAAGTTAATCTCTTGTTTCTCCAATTATTTAAAATATCCTCTACCTTATTGACATTCTTTTTGTAATTCTTCTTCTTACTTTCTTCACAATCAATGCAGAACCAAAAATCTAAAGCCTTAACCTTGCCATCTGCCCGTTTAAGATTTTTATCAGAGCACATAATCTGGTTTGATCCTTTCTTGGAGCCAATCCAAAGAGCTTCAGTTTTTTCACAATTTACTTGCAAGCTCAAAACCCCACCGAATTTTTACAATATAGCAAAGGAGTGCTCAAGCGATTTTTGAGTGCCATCTAAAATCAGAGTGGTGTCATCTGCATATTGACTGAGCTTACATTCGGTGCTGCCTACTGTGATTCCTTTAACCTCATTATCTTTATGGATGGTGGTAGCTAACACCTTTGCACACAAGATAAAAATGTAAGGCGATAGCAGACACCCCTGCCTTACACCTCGACTTAATTCAAAGAAACCCCCGGACCAACCGTTATTTATAACACAGCTTTGGATATCATGGTTAAACAAATTGATCCACTTAATTATAGAGGAGCCAAAACCAAAATGATGGAGTGTTTTCTCAACAAATGCCCATTCTATAGTATCAAAGGCTTTCTCAAAGTCAACAAAGAGACGTAACCCGGAAATATTCTTTGATTCTGTGAATGAGATGACATTGTTAATCAAGCAAATGTTTTCTGCAATAGATCGTCCTTTCAAGAACCCTGTTTGGTCATTGTCTACTAAATTTTGCAAAACAGCCTTAAGACTTGAAGCAATCGCCTTGCATGCAATTTTGTAGTCACAGTTTAATAAAGTTATGGATCTCCACTTTTTCAGTTCTTGTAGTGCCTTGTCTTTCTTGAGTATCAATGAAATGATGCCTCTTCTTTAGGTTAAAGCAAGCTTACTCTTCTGATGGCTTTTGTTAAGACAACATATAAGAAAAGGAGACATCCTTCCAAAAAACTTTATAAAATTTTGCAGGAAGTCCATTTTTTGGACATTTTGGAGATTTTAAGCCTGGATCATCCTCGGAGACCCAGGGGCAGTTAGTGGGGGCGGGGAAAGGTCTAAATGGATTAGAAAAAAATGCGGACAAAGAAAAGTCACTTTTCTTCGGCCAAATTTTTTCATTGTCCGTTTGGACTTTTTCCTGCCCCCACTAACTGCCCCTGGGTCTCCAAGGATGAGCCTTGATATGAGCCAACTAGCTCCAATCTACCCAAAAAGGGGTTTGCAATATGACAGCATGCATTTCAGGTGCCATTGAGCCAATCACTCCGATCTGAGTATGATTGGAAAGATCTTTTCCTCCCAATGGGCAAGTGAGAGTGAATAGTTATTTGGCCGGCCCTTTTTTTTAGCCTTGCTTAGAGATGTAGAGTTCATTATTTGGAAATGTTTGATCACAGAGCCATAGAGTTAATTATTTAGAAATGAGTGATTGAATTCTAGACAACTTGAATTAAAGACAGCTTCCCTGGGCCCTCGCCCTGCTTGCCCATTGGGCAAGCGAGAATGAAAAGTTACTTGCCAGCAGGAAAACCTACTTGTCCCGAACGACTGGACAACACTTTTTTTTAGCCTTGCTTAGAGACGTAGAGCCATAGAGTTTATTATTTGGGAATGTTTGATCATAGAGCCGCAGAGTTCATTATTTAGAAATCTGTAGAGCGGTAGAGTTCAATGACTAGAAATGTTTGATCATAGAGGCATAGAGCCATAGAGTTCATTATTTAGAAATCAGTAGAGCAGTAGAGTTCAATGACTAGAAATGTTTGATCATAGAGGAATAGAGCCATAGAGTTCATTATTTAGAAATGTGTGATTACAGAGTCAAAGAGTTCATTATTTGGAAATGTGTGATTGTAGAGCTGTAGCATTCATTATCTAGATATGTGTGATCCTAGAGCTGTATAGTTCATTATGTAAAATTATCTTTAACAAACAGGTTCGGGCACAGGGTTGGATAAAAACTTTTACACTAGACCAAAACCATTGGTAATCATGGTAACATGCCACCGTTTTATATGTACACAAGAGAAAAAGTTCAAACTGAGCGGTGATAAACGCTTAGCGATGTAGCACTCTACGAAAACTTCTATGCCTGTTCAAGCTTCATGAAACGGGCTGGGTATAGGAGAGACACTAAAAAATAGTTGCGTGTTGGTGATTGGCCTTGGGGCCTTATGTGACACCTAGTCACAAAAGAGATAGCTACAAGTATAGGCAACCGACATTGCAATTCTGGTTGCCAACAGTCCATTTTTAGTAAATAATGTCAATAATTTACAACATGAAAAGTACTGGAATCACTATTGGCAAATTGTATTTAGGTAAGGAACAAGTATGAACTGAAGTATAACATTCAGCAATTCAACTGAATTTTGTTGAGGCTAAAACAGTGATGGGCACCCTTCAATTCTGTATAATTTCCTTGTAGTTAAAATTGGTTTGTACTAAAAGAGACATAACTTCTGGTTGGATAATGGGTAAACAGACTGGTTCAAATCAATGTGAATTTATGAATCTCACATAGTACCTAGCATTAATTTCAGGACAAGAATTAATGTACAAATATTCAGGAGGTGTACTCGTGATTCATTGCGAAATTGTGGTATTTCCTGGTAAAGTGTGATTAAAAAATGATTCAAAAGTGAAATGTAAAAAATTTAACTCCAGGAAGTAATTTGCACAAATTAAAAAACAATAAATACAGGTTAAAATAGTGTTAAGCGAAATACTTGAGGTCTTATATTTAATATTAAATTTTGCCTAAAAGAATGTTTTAGCTCCAATTTTAAGGACACTGTCTTTTATTTTTTGATGTGTTTTGTCCTCCATTTTTTAATGATCTTCCGGTTTTAGCAATCACTACAAACCCAAAACCATATTTTCAAATTCATATTTTCATGGTAAACTAACAGCTTTTTCAGTACCTTTCCAAAGTTTCACCATTGCTAAATTAATGGCACTGACCATAGGTTATTGCCATGGAAAAGCCATGGTAAAGACATGAAAAATCCCATGAAAATTCTGTGAAATGTACCATGATTCAGAGCAATTTAGTTGGATGAGGGCATGAAACTTGAAATCTCTGTGTTCATGGCCCATGAGAATGTTTGTTTTCATGGTTTATCAAGACCTTTTTCAGGCATTTTCACAAACCTGTGGTTCATAGTGTATGTAAATCAAACTTGAGGCACATGGGTTTTTGAAAACATGCAACATTCCATTGATCATCTATTGAAGCTGAAAACTTGAACAGGAATTTCTTGTTGAAGTGTTTGTTTGTTGGTGACTTGAATGTACCAGGTAAAAAGGTAATGTCTGCATACGAGCCAAGTGGCCCATCAGGCCGGAGCTTATCCTGGTTTCTGTAGCATGAAGCAACTACTAGTATTTCTACTCCCCCCTGGATGGGATGCTAGTCCATCGCAGGGTTACCCCCAGAATAAAGCTTGCTGGTACTCATTTATATGTCTGGGTAGAGAGTGGCACTGTGACAGTAAACTGTCTTGCCCAAGAACACAACACATTGTGCCCGGCCAGGGCTCAAACCCAGACTGCTCGACCCGGAGACAAGTGCACTAACCATGAGGTCACTGCATGAATGCCATTAATTTTTAAGATTTTGAGCAGCTAAGAGCTCATAGTTCTTAATCATATTTTACTAGAAAATGCCTTTTACACTTATGTTATGTTTGTGTTGACATAATTTGTTTTCTTGATTCATTGTAGTTGAGCATCAGTTTGAGATTGTGGTCGAGGACATCAAAGGTCTGTCAGTCTTTGGTAACACTGTTTGGGGTGAAACTGACTGCTTTGTTCAGTATCACTTTCCATTCCAAAGGCACCTGGATTCTGATTATGGACCAAGTGAAGGTTAGCATTTTGAAGATTTCAGTATTAAAAAGCATATTCAAGTAAAGCCACAGTACCTCAATTGTAATGACAAAATTGTATAATAATTTTATTATTATTAATATTAATTGTGATCAGTCTCTTGTCGAATTATAAGCAAGCTATTAAGGACAGTGCCTACTAGATATAAAGGTTTTTTGCGTAAATAAGGACTACATGTATGTGGAAAAAGAAGATCTCAGGAAAGGCTATTGGAACACAAAAATGAAAACTAGGTAGCCACACATGTGTTTTCATCAATTTGGCAATTTAAACTGAATGAGTTTTGAAAACAATCCTGTCTGTTCTGTTTATGCTTGATAAACACTAATTTAGAGGGAAATACATGTAGACTCAAAACAAGGTTACTTTAAACTTGCAAAGCCCTGACCTAATCAGCAAGTAACTGTATCTGAACATGGAGAAAGAAAATGTCTCTTTTGACTTCAAGAAAAGAATTGCAATGAAAGCTGCCAGGAAAAACAAAGGTTTTTTGCATATGTTATTTCTTGAAAACTAAGCACAACAGGAAAAAAAATACAGGGTAATGATTTTCAATTAAATTGGAGGTTACACATAGCTGTTTCAAGAAAGGTTGTCTTACAAAAGTGTAAAAGCGAACACGACGAAGTTGAAAGTTATTGTGGGTAATGGTGGTTTTACAGTTACTTGTTCAAGGTATTTCAGCACTGACAGAAGGAAACAACAAAAACACGTGTATAAATGCTTTCTCTTTCCTTTTAGCTAAACACCGTGAACCTCGACGAACTAGCGCCAAACTGTTACTACCCATAATACCAATAAGTATTGTCACGTGCACTTTTATGCTGTTGTGGGACAACCTTTGTCGAAACAGCTATATACATGTCAAAATTCAGGCACATCTGAACAAAAATAGAAAATGACCTAAAATGGCACAAACATCCCTTTTGCACCAATCCCTTCTGTTAGCCTTGAATATCCAACAGAAAGGCTCATGTCAGCATTTTTCTTAAAAAACAAAAAACATTTTCTTCAGAGATTTTCTCAGAATTTGGTTTTACATACAAGAAAACTACTTTTGGTATGTTTTTAACAACAGAATTGGTTATTAATCAACACCGTCATTAGAGTCCCTTACAAAACTCGTTTAGTTTAGCAAAAATACTGTCTGACCTTTACACTGTACATGTAGCTTTTGCAAACAGACAGAATCTAATCACTTGTTGAATAGTTAAGCAAAGTTAGTGTAGTTTATTTCATCAATTTCAACCCTAGCATGTGTGTGGCATGTAAACTACGCCTACGTAATGCACAGAAGATGTGCACACTAACAAAAATAGGCACCGTCCTTAATAGAGGCAGGTTGTCTTGATACTCTAAGTGGGAAAAGGGAAAATGAAAACAAGGGAAAACAAAACTATCTTTTCCCAAGGGACCAGTAATTGCTAACTAACAATAAATAATTCATTTCTAACTTTGAGCTCAATTTTTTTTTAAAAGACTGTGCTATTAAAATAAAGCAGTTGAAACTTCATTGTATTACCATTGTCACCTTACCAACAACAACAATCTAGGTAAAGCCTTACTCTGCATTTAAGTACTGCTCGTAAAAATAATTTACTCTAGAGCTCTTTTTGTTATCCATAGTAAGAGGTTTTCTGATTTCATTCACAAGGCACACTCAGTCTTCAGCCTCATCGTACCCCCACTACTTTGTGTGTGCCTGAGCCAGTATTTCATGATGTGACAAGACATACACTGAAGCTTGCTCAAGGATTTCCAGTTCAGAAACTCTTACTGGCAGCATTCACTGGTTCTTGGCTGGCTGCTCCTACTGTCCCAGGGTCAGGTGGAGTTCCTTTTGAACTCTGGCAGAGATACTACTATCCAAATATCAGAGACCAAATGGTGGCTAAGGTAGAGAAATGCACTAAAAAAGTACTAACCGACTAAAAAATACTCTATTATGACTTCAGCTGCAATCCTTTGTGAAGCGGTTTGATTTTTATTTGATAAAATGTCTTGTAAAGACTGATTGTAATGTGAAAATGGTGCTGTAATCATGTTGTTTTCCAGCTTCTTTGAAGAAAGTGTATTCTCAAGACAAAGAGTTTCACAGTCCGGATACTAACTAGTGTATGCCTTATATGTCATAAAAATTTTTCTATTGATTTGTAAAAACTGTGAGACGTCTTGAGATGTCTTACATGATGTGCAAGTATTGAGCCTTTGAGGAACCTTTTAACTTGGAAAATCCAAGATGTAGGTATGGATGGGAGATTTGCTCAATCCTTTACTCCTTCACTCCTTTGGTTGGGTGACCAAATGTGAATACCACGTGTTGTAATGATTTCTTTTTTTCTTTTCTTTTCTTTTTTACTTACCTTTCCAAGGTGATATCAGTGACTGCAGAACACCAAGCCCTGTGTAATTACTTAAGTATTTTCTTCTATTCATCAACTGTTTGTTCATATCATCTTGTCATCTCCAAATGTACTTACACTACTGATAAATTGTAGTGAAATGTATCACTCAAACTCTTCTCAATGCTCCCAGATAAAAATTTTAATCATGGCTATATTCATTCAAAAATTCATATTTTAATATCTTTGGAAGTCAATAAACATTACCTATGCAGTTAAACTGATCACTCAGTGAGGAAATCGTTCCACATCCACATCAAATTACTTTATACATCGGTTAGCAGAATGGCAAAAAGTCTAACAGGAAGGGAAGGAGCGAAGAGGAGCGAAGGAACAAAGGATCGAGCTAATCTTCCATCCATACCCAAACTTGGATTTTCCAAGTTAAAAAGCTCCTTACTTACAAGTCATTTCAGACATCTCAAATGCACACATGGAAGTCTCACAATTTTTACAACAGGAAAATGGTAATGACATTTAAGGCATAATCTCTCTCATTTTTCTTGCATTAAATGCCCATCTAGACTAAGCAGTTTTTTCTTTATATTTATTTTGCATAAATAGCAGTCATCAAGTTCATTCTGAAAGTGTGGAGAGGGTTTTTAAGTCTTTCTAGTTTTGTTAACCTTTACCAAACTTCAAGAGTTAAGTTTTCCCCAATTAGTAGAGGGTTATTTCCCTATCTGCTAAATATCTCGACACATTAATAAAATTTATGTATGTATGTATGTTCCAGCCTCTGAGAGCAGGAAACATTTTTGTTGAGTATCAAAACTGACATCTGCCAATTGATTTTAAGTTGAACATCAATAAAGTTGTTTTTGCCACAAAGACAAGGTGCTCAGTTCATTTCATATCTGACTGACATTTTGTAGTTACTTTATTATATTATTTTTTGTATTTTAAGTCTGTATGCATGCACCAAGGTAAACATTTGGGGACTACAAAACTTGTTGCAATTTTTGGTAGAGCTGAACAAATTTTGTCAGCCCAATTTGGATGGACCATTAGTTTAACGGTGTTATATTAATTTTATTTTCACATGCAGGCAAGTCTGCCACTTGCAAAGCTGTGTGCAATGGTAACTATGCAGAAACAAGGTGAAGCAAATTTCCAGACCTTCTCCTTACCATTGAGAGTCCTTGCTGCAATTGAGGTGGATAATATGCGACAGGATAAAGTGCGAGACAGTGGCTTACTTGACATCACTGTTAAATATCAGCAAGTGAAAACAGAGGATCCAAAAGGAAGACATACAGCAGTGATGGAAGACAACAATCAAGTTTGTTTATCACTTGGAGTGTTTCAAGCCTGTGGACTCAAGGTGAAGTGTCTCATGCATTTCGTCACAGTTCAAATTTATCATCTTTCATATAATTATTCATTTCAGCATTTCCTCACCATCTACGGGTATGTTACGAACTCACAATGAGACCAGCTCCCAGTTGGCTTGATAACTCAGTTGTTAGGGCACTGCACTGGTACTGCAGAAGTCATGGGTTTGAATTCTGCTCAAGCCTTAATTTTTTTCAGGCTTTAATTTCACAGCTGCTTAAGTTGTGCATATAACTGCAATGATCAATCATGTCTTCATACAGTTACAGTGTTGTAAGTTAGGTTTTGAACTTGAAAGTTCCAAACCTAAAGTTGGGTAGTATAATAAATTATTATAATAAAATAGTGTAACTTAATTCAGCACTGATAGCTTAGAGTAAAAGATGGTTATTAAAGGATCTCTTTTCAGATTGGATCTGGGTTTGTAGGCTTTGATATAAAATTGTGATAAAGTATTGCCATATGATTGTAATTTCTGCATTTTGGCATGGTTAATAATTCTGGTGTAACAGCTTTCAATTAGGTTCCAATTCTTAAATTGCAACATTTTGGGTTCCTTCCCCCATTGATTTTACAACCCAAGAATCCTGCCCTCCCCCCTCCTTGAAAAATCCTGGATCTGTCCATGACTTACAAACTTCGTTGTTCGCGGAGAATGTGAAAAAATTGCTTAGTCACCTTTACTGATTTTGTAGGCCAGTGTTCATTGTGGAATGTCATTTCCTTGACCCAAAGATTTTCCCAGGTGAAGTCAGCCACAGTATTTTTGTTTACTCATAGGCAGCAGCACTTTTTCATGTGGAATCCAACCCCAGCCTGTCATATCCTACAGAGGTTGGTGTCAACACATACATTGTGCTGCAGTTCCCACTGGGAAAGAAGCTCAAGCATGTGACAAGGACTGTGGCACGGACATTCAGTCCTGAGTTTTCATACAATGCAGATATATTGTTACCAGTAGTGTTGCCATCTGATGTAAGTGGTACTAAAAGAAATCTGAGTTTAGCAGAACAGCTGGAAAAATCTGAAATGGTGTTTGAAGTTTGGTAAGTTTATACTTTGGATAGTGGTTTATTACATTTCTTGCAGATGAGGAGTAGTTAAATGTGGGAGTACTCAGTAGTCTAATGGCTTAAGATCCAGACATTAAAATCTTGGTCCATGGTGACCATTTTCCCTGTGCTGTGTTCTAATGGTCAAGACAATTTTAATTGTCTTGTGATAATTAGAACTATTACAAGCATCTTGTGAGACAAATAGATTTGGAGGAGTGGCTGACCTGCAATGGCCTAGCATCCATCAGGAGGAAAGAGCAATGTCCTGAGTTGCTTAATGTTGTGGAAACTACCATTGGAAGGCTGATGGATAACTGGTGCTTGAGTCATTTAATCAAAATTATATACTTTATTTATGACATATGCAAGGTTTTGTATCCCTTTTGACATGTGCAAAAATACTGTAAAACATTGTACAGCTATGCTCGTAAGATTTTTGTGCATGTCTCCTTATATGTTCAGTTCTGTAGAGTTATATGTTAGTTTTTTTTTAATCTAGCTCATTTTTTCTAGGTTTGCTTTTGTTAAATCTTAATAGAGGACTCTGTAAACCACTTTGTGATGTAGGTCTCCTTATTAAAGATTATTTATTATTATTAATACCAAACCTTGCTTAAAGTGCCCCTATGATTAAATTCTCGATATCTATTTTTTTACATTTTCATACACAATAGGTCTTGCCTAGATATCTTGCCTAATTTCAATCTCTTACGAACATTTGGACCTCTGTTTCTGAGAATTTACTGCTGCCATTAATTTTCCTTGTTCCAAGTATTGGCTGAGAATTGGAGTAAATGACGTCATTCACTCAAAAATACCTCACAGGTTGAAATTAAGATAACAAGTATTGTAGAAAATTGCACAAATATAAGAGCCGAAGTTTTTTTATTCTTTATGCAAATTGTGTACTAATTGTTATCATAATTTCAACCCGTGTGGTATTTTTGAGTCGAGAATTGAGAATTTCATCATAGGGGCACTTTAAAAGCGTGTTGTGAAAGCAGATTGTACAAACTCTAACCAGGCATCAAATGTCACGAGGAGTGAGTGGTGACCAGACAATAAGATCAGGTATGGAGCAAGTCAAGTCTGGAGGGCAGAGAGATGTTTTGCTTGGTGTGGGAAAAGTACCTCTTGTCAAGCTTCTTGCTCATAAAACAGGTTGGTCCACCTAATTTCATCTTCTAGCAACATTTGAATGCAAATGGTAAATTTTTGACTGTGTATAGTGTGTTAATTTACTTTGATATATTCACCAATGTTCACTGAGCCTGAGGCGAATAATTGTTTTAGAATAATTTTCAGAGGTGAATATCAAGGACTACAAAATAACAGACTAAAACATAAAATCGCAGATGTAATTGTTCGTGTGCATTCATGTTTCTGTAGCCATAGTTTTAATAATAAGCTTACATGTACATCGATCATTGAGTTCGGCAACAAAACAAATGAGCGAAACACTATGAAAAATAAATCCATCCAGTACCTTTGTTTTATCGTTGTTGACTTCCTTCACAGTTGACATGATCACCTAAAAATGAGTAGCTTAAGCCTTTAGTTTGAAGAAAAATAAATTTTAATCAATCGACGCAACCACTGTGTTTACGATTTTTAAAAGCATTCAGTTGAATGCAAGTTCTTGATAAGATTTTTGGTCCAAGGGCGACAGCAGTCATTCTGAAAATTCTCCCCTGTTTCATGTATCCTGGACTTGGAGTGATGTCTTTCGAATGAATGAAAACTTCATTCAGCAACTGTTCGCCATGTTTACTTTCCGAGATGGCAAAGATGGCAAGCTTAGTAACCAAGCTCTCTATAGTGTCATATGATGAGGGTTTTCAACCAATCAGAATGTCCAATTCTTATATTCACCTCTGGAAATTATACTAAACATACAATTGTATGATAGTTCAGGTGCTGATTGCCGCTGGAACCAATATAGTACTTACAATGAAGGAGCTGATACAGCAAAATATGTTGAGGGACTACTCAGACCTTGAGTACGTACATGTATGGAGTTTAATACAGCTCTGTTTCGTAGGCTAACATAAAGTTAGCCCACTCATCAGTTAGTTTCCATATACACTGAAGCCTACTAAAATACACATGAACAATATGGTCGAGCAAGACGCAATAAACTGTTACAAAATATCGTAAAAAACGGTTACAATCAATGGTTGCTTGTTCAAATGCACTTCTAAAATTTAAGAACTTATACGCGTGCTTTGAACATGTTAATATTTTAAGTGCCAGTGTGGGCACGCTGGGAAAACGAAATGCAATTGGTAAACTATAATCTAAGAATGAACTTTTTTAGGTGCCAGCACGTAGAACTTAGATGTAACAAAACTGTTCTTAAGAACTTGGCACAACCAACACAAGACCAGGCTGGAAGAACATGCAACTGCAGGAAGAAGGACAAATGCCCCTTAGAAGGAAACTGCCTTTCTAAAGGAATCGTTTATCAGGCCAAGGCGACGTCTGAGAGCAAAACCCGTAGGTGTCGTTCAACAAGGAAATGCACAAGAACAACACAGAACTTGGCAAACACATCTGGCAGAGTAAAAGTAAACAGCAACACTACACCATCAAATGGAAGATCCTTACCAAGGCGAGACCCTACTCAAATGTGACAAAGCGGTGCAACCTACGCACGACTGAGGAGCACTTCATCATCACCAAACTAAAACTGGCGACACTAAATAAACGAAACGAACTAATTTCCACATGCCAGTACCGATGAAAATTCATTCTTAGATATTGTTAACTAACTGCATTTCGTTTTCCCAGAGCGCGCACGCTGGCACTTAAAATAATAACATGTTAAAAGCATGTACATAAGTTTTAACATTTTAGAAGTGCATTCAAACAAGCAATCTTTGATTGTAACCGTTTTTTTTACAATGTTTTGTAACAGTCTGTTGTAATGGTTTATTGCATCTTACATAACCATATTGTTGATGTGTATTTTAGTAGGCTTCAGTGTATATGGAAGCTAATTGATGAGTGGGCTAAATAACATATGCACGCAAGATCTGAGTGGTCTTTCAACACATTTCATTACATATATACATGTAGGGCTGTAAGAGCTATTTTTCATGTCCATGAACCATAGTTTTAAGAAAGCTGTTTATTTCTGCTTATGAGCCTGTAAAGTTTTGGGCTCAGCTGATTTAGACAAGCCTCGCTTCTCTGTTCACACTTTCCTATGAGGTTTGTTGCTGTTAGTCTGAGGAAATACTTTACACAGGTTAGTGTTCTAACCAATCACTCTTATACCAATATTTTCCCCTAGTTAGTTATGGATAGACTAGATGTAAACAAACCTCCCAGTTGCATCTACACTCAGAGTTGATAACAGGATTTCATAAGAGTCTTGTTGGTTAGTACATGCTCATGCTCATCACACAGGAGTCAAAGGATGGTACCCAATATACTTGCCTAGTAAAAGTGGCATGCATGATGGTGATGTGGACAAGGTTGTTGGAGGGTTAGAACTTAGTATCCAATTCTCAGAAGCAGAGGATAGAGACCATGTTATTCACCTGTCAAGAGGAGTTGGTTGGTCTCCACTGCCTGAGATAGATTGTGATGAGGAGTGGCTGGACAAAGAGGATCTATCCAAAAAGAAACACTGGGAGTATTGCTTGAACATCAACAAGGCTTGGATTCCTTCGTCAGAACTTCATTCTTTTCAGGTGTCAGTAACAAAACGGGATAAAGATATCAGGGCTTATGCACGATACAAGCTCTACAACAAAGGTACCCATTTTTCTTGCATATAAGGTACCCTTTAATATGAAATAACATGCCAAAGTACTGAGAATTCCAAATTATTGTGTTCCGGGGTGTCCAATTGATGAAATCGATGACAATTGATACCAATCAATACATGTCAAGATCAATTAACAGGGCTGGAAATAACAGTCGGTCATCGGACAGTGTCCGACCAAGTTTTAAATATGTCCAGCCAATTTCACATTATGATCGGACATGATGTCCGAACATTTCACTAACACCAAGTTACATGTATTGTCTGTCCATGAAATTTAGTTAGATACATTGTTGAAACCTCGAAATTGCGACCAGTTCAGTCGCCAATGCAGCTAAAATCTTTGGCGACCAAAAACTCTGGTTTAGTCGACAGCCGAAAATACATCTGCGTTCACAGGCTACCATAATGGCGGCTACGTTTCTCTGTGTTGACGATCAATAACGGTTATTTTCTCAGACATTATGTCCTTCCAGGAATACATAGTCAAAGATCTTTGCTTCTATAACATTCAATATAAGAAAGGAAGGCAATCTATCCTTTTGCTTTGCTGTAAGAATTTCCTCACATCGGGAAATTTGCAAATGGGTCGCAAATGGCTGATCATGTTTGAAATCGCCCTATAATGCATTGCAAACCCTTGAGCATTGAGTTCGTGATGTATGCCTACCGATTGTGTCTCTTGGAATGCATGAATCTTTCACAGACATTACATTCGCTATGTATACAAAATTAGCGGCCAAAAAAGTCTTGGAAATTTTTTTCTGTACGGCTTTTGTGTATTGAGTTCTTTTCTGAATAAAATTCCTACTTAGTCGTGAAATGGCTACGCAAGAAGTTTTTTTAATTTTGGGCCCTTGACTCTGACAGTTTGAGCCATATCCTAGAGCCCATTATGGGCTCCTGCCATATCATAAAGCAGAAGTGTTCATCTTTCCTGTACTTGCCAAATAAAGCACTCTTCAGAAATCACCCTATTATGCATTACATGCATTGCGATATGCTGTTAGCCCTTCATGTAAGTACCCTAGAGTCAACTTTGGTTAGGAGCCTGCAACTCCCATACTAAACCCATGTCACGGTATTTTTACAAACCTGTCTATTTTCAGGCTTCTTTTCCCATGAAAAAGGTCAGTTCCGGGCTATAATATGAGCGCAAATCGGTAAGGAGAAAAATGGCGGCCTCAGATGGACATTTCGACCTAATCTTCCGGTGAAATTATAAAGTCCTTGATTGTGATTGGTCACTGAGGTTCCTGCGGGGGTCTGAATTTGCGGTAAATTCAAACTAAAAATAGATGGGTCTAAAGGCCGGGACAGGAATAATTGGAGTAGCTACACACTCCTAGTGATAGCAATCAATAGAAAACTAGGTTTGCTTGAAGAACATGTAATCAGGAGATAACCAGGAGGGTATTGATTAGTATTGATTGGCTGCAAATTTCATCATGTTTTTTGATCTACAATCTGTTGGGAATAGGCAGTTATGAGCTGGAGCATGAGCATGCCAATTCAAGCAATTGAAAATAGCCTTGCTTCTATCAAAAGTGTGAATTCCACGAGCATTTAACAACAAAAGTTTAAAATTTTCGTTGTTTCGCCCATATCTTAAGAGATAAAGCTATCCAATTCAAGTGAGAAAAGCTAATGTTAGCATTCTTTGTAAAACGCAAGCAGCAAGTAGAATTCACCAAATGAACGACAATAGTAAATAAAAATAAATAAATAAACAAATGCTACTCAATACATTCTAAATTAGACCTGGGTGAATAAGCCAATCAATGGGAACATTGGTTGTCGGTTGGGATTTGTTACTGGCCAGCCCAACCTCTCAGCCTTGTTTTATAGGCTCACTTCTTGTTTAATATAGATCATAAACAGATTATATCAATAAATATAATAGCAAAAAGGTTCTTAATCTGTAGTTAAAATTCACAATGCACTAACAACAACTAAGAGTTATCGTAGGCCCTAGTCTGCGCTGCCTTGTTTAGATAAATCGTTTGTTGAAAAATACACACCTAGCAGTCATGTGACTGAGTTACATGTGGAATTTACATGCTACTACTGATTTACAATAAAAAATTACACAAATGAATTACATCAAGACAAAGATATCCACTGCTAAACCAAACAAGTGTAATGCAAGTGTAATGCTACATGTAGATCACATAGACAGGATACATTTTTACTTCCGTTAATTTTATGAACAAAATTCGATCTGCCCCGATTCAACCCTTATTGACAAATAATTTTCAAGTTATACCTGTTTGCTTACTCTTGGAAAGTGAGCTTTAAACGATAGTTGTTAATCGGCTCATTGTGATCCCTAGATTTTCCTTATGTTATGGTTGCATCTAATTTTTTGGAACTTAAGTATTTACAACCCTTTATCAGAAGGGTTTCCTAAAACAGATTGTCACGCAGTTTCGAATTCCATGTCTTCCATTCCAGGAGTGTTTACACTGCTCTGTATTGAAGACAAATGTTGCTTTATTTCATGGAATGAAATGATACTGATATCAGATGAAATGAAAACCAGTCAACGAGAATAAATTCTGACTAATTTACATATTGTGTCAAAGTTTAGACTATACTCTCAGGCATGCTAAAAATAAAATGTAAAGTAAACAGAATTCAAGCATTATACTTCGGTAGCACTATGAATGCACAAATGCAATTCGATCTGGCCTGAAGCCATTGTGATATGTATACAGTGGGATATTCATCATAGACCTAACAATTAATTTTTGTGAGTTACACCTGTTTGCTCATTTGCAGAAAATGCGCTTTAGAGGTTAGTTTTGAATCCACTTGTTATCTTTAGATTTTTCTGCATGACTGATACCAGCCACTTTAACCTTTCAAGCCTTATTTTTGTTGTCAAATGTGATTTAAATGCAAGCAAGTTGTGTTAAACAGATGGCTCAGCCACTTACAAAATAAATGGCTAAAAACAGCTTGTCACAAATACAAATGAAGAAGCTAGTCATAAAAGGGGATAAGTGACGATTTTGGTTGCTTTTCTTTTTTTTTGCTCCAAATTAGTTGAATTTTTGCATGTGGTCTTCAATGTAATAGAAAAACGTGGTTCTGTATTTTTGACGCTGGTTTTTGCTTTGTTTTCGAGTTAAAACGTAGGTAAAAAACTTGGCTTTTCCTAGCCATGTCTTTAGGAGTTTATTTGTTGAACAGCAAACAGGCAGACTGTTTATAGTGTATGAAGTCAAAACCAAATCCCACAGCATATAGAGCGAAATCTGGGAACGGATTGTTTACACCGGTTATTGTGACGTGAACACAACACGTGAACACAACACGTGAACACAACACGTGAACACAACACGTGAATCGATCGAGCGTCAAACGAAATGCCATCAAACAAAAAAGAGATGTGCCGCATTAGAGCTCTGTCAACTAATATCTTAAG